AATCGGGGGCCGGCCAAAGCCTGTGGAATTGGGGGGGGGGGGGGTTTGGATTTAGGGGTTTGAGGTTTGAGATTCAGGGCTTGGAGTGAGCCAAAAGCACGTAAGACGTAAGTCACCCTGGCCCCTCCACGCCTTGGCTTGCAGCACTGCCATCGCCACCTGCATGCAGATGTCTACGAGTTGAAGAGTGCTGGGGCTGTCCAGGGTTGGGGTTTAGGGTTTGGGGTTTAGGGCTTCGGGTTGAGTGTTTGGGGTTTAGGGTTTAGGGTTTGGGGTTTAGGTCTCCCAGTACCCTAGGAGAAAAAAGAGCTACCATCGTGTCCACACTGAAGTATCACCATAGCCTCCGGGTTTTGAGACGAATGTCAACCAGCCCTAGGACCCTCGATTGTCTAGACCCAAGAGCAAGCTAGGAATAACACCGGATACCCTGTGGGTTTAAAGGCTTATAAAGGGAACCTGAACCTTTAAAAAAGGTAGGATGGCCCTCAAAAAAACCTTTGCAAAATTTGTTCCTGAGTAGGATCCTCTTAAACCCCAAGAGGGAAAATACAAAATGCCCCAAGGACCTACCGATGTGTGTAGTTCATTTTCGGGGGCTAACTACCCAACTTCATCAGTACCTGTAAATTTCCTGGCCATCAAAATTGAGTACCCCCCTTGAGGGTTCTACGGTTGGGGGGTCTGGGCATTGAGCCGCGCTGCCTGCCTGAAGCGCTAATGCGAGGAACTGTAGACCTAAACCCCAAAACCCTAAACTGCCTCAAAGCTGAGCACCCAGGGCCATAGGACTACACAAGGTTCTGCACTTCATGTGGGGTTTCAGCGGTTAGGGCTTGAAGGGGTTCGGGTGCAGACCCCTACACCCTAAACCCTAACCCTCAACCCTAAACCCTTAACCCTAAACCCTAAAGCCTAAACCCTAAACCCTAAACCCTCAACCCTAAACCCACTCGTTTTTTCAGGACATGGCCTGCTCGATGCCACCATTGTCGCGCACTACTGCGGAGGCTTTCGCTTCTGGATCGGCCTGGTGCACTTGGAGGTCGATGGGTACTTACAAACCCCAAACTCAAGGTTTAGGGTTTAGGATTTAGGGTTTAGGGTTTAGGGTTTAGGGTTTAGGGTTGAGGGCTATAACTATAACCCCCAAATGCTAGTCTACTTAGAACCTACTTAGAGGACTTGGGGGGCTTTGGGGGTAAGAAGAACCCTGAACCTCCAAGCAAAGCATGCCACACTGTGAGCTCACCACTTCCGGGATCTAAGACTTCAAAGGGCTCAAGGCTTGGGGCTGTTTAGGGCTTCTAAGGTTTAGGGTTTAGGGTTTAGGGTTTAGGGTTTAGGGTTTAGGGTTTAGGGTTTAGGGTTTAGGGTTTAGGGTTTACGGTTTAGGGTACAAAAGCATGTTGGGGCTTCAGAGTTTTTGGGTTTTGGGTTCCGTTTAGTGAGGGGTAGGGGATCAAAAAAGCTATTTATTTGGGATCAAAAAAAGAGTGTATTTATGGGCGGATCAAAAAAAGCTTATTCGGCATCAAAAAACAATTTACTGAAGGCTTCGAGGGCCTGTTGCAAGCGGAGCGGAGGCTGTAAACGCTCAGAAATGCAGCATTTCTGCGGGAACTACTGAAAATAGCAGCATTTCTGAGTTTCCAGAGAGGCTGCAGATACTGTGTATGACAGCAGCTTTGCGCTTTCAAAGGCTGGAAGTGCATTTCTGAGTTTCCAGAGGCTGCAAATACTGCAAATAGCAGCTATTCTGCTCTTTCAGAGGCTGGAAAAACTGTAAATAGCAGCATTTCTGACTTTCCAGAGGCTGCAAATCAATACTGGCATCTTGGCAGTAGAAGCTTCAAAAAACAGAGCGTATATTCTGAAGCAAGCCAGAACGATTTAAACAAGAGCAGGGGATTGGGGGGCCGCCCTATGCGCCAACACAATGCTCGCATCATGGGTTTCGAAAGTACGTATGCTGAAGCACGTGGCACGACTTAAAATAAAGCGGGGGGGTTGGAGGGGGGGGGGGGTGCAGCCCCCCCCCGTCCCCCCTTTTGCAAACACAATGCTCGCATCAGAGGCGTCGAAAAGACGCGTATGCTTTGAAGAAAGCTGGCACGACTTAAAAGAAGCGGGGGGTTGTTGGGGGGGGGCCCGCCGCAAACACAATGCTCGCATAATGGGTTTCGAAAAGATGCGTATGCTTTGAAGCAAGCTGGCACGACTGCTTCCTTGCTTTCTTTATTTTGTTAGTTCCTTCTTTTTTCTGTCTTAATTTCTTGATTTCTTCCTTCCTTCATTTCTTCCCTCCTTCCTTCCATCCTTCTTTGCTTCCTTGCTTCCTTGCTTCCTTGCTTCCTTGCTCCCTTGCTTCCTTGCTTCCTTGCTTCCTTGCTTCCTGACTTGCTTGATTCCTTCCTTGCTTGTTTCCTTCCTTGCTTGTTTCCTTCCTTCCTTCCTTCCTTCCTTCCTTCCTTCCTTCCTCCCTCCCTTCCTTCCGTCCGGGACCTTCCCCACTTGCCAAAGTCTATCCCTTTCCTGTCCTCAACATCCCCCCCTGTCTACTCGTCCCTCTATGCCTCCCCGGCCCCCCCTGCCCTTTTTGCCCCGCTCCACCCTGCCCAGCCCCCCTACTTCCCCCCCCCCCCCCCCCCTCCTACCCTAAACCCTAAACCCAAAAGCCCTGACCTCTTCCCGGGCCCGGCCGTTGTCTAAACCCTAAACCCTAAACCCTAACCCCTAAACCCTAAACCCTAAACCCTAAACCCTAAACCCTAAACCCTACCTAAACCACCTCCCCCAAGAACAAAAAAGGAGTCTCTGCCTTTGCCGCCTCGATTTCCGAGGGCTTCCCCTGGCATTTGTTGGGCATCCGCGTTTGGGCTTTTAGTGTTGTTCAGGGTTTGTCTGTACTTCTTTCAGGAATTTAGGGTTTGAGGGGTAGGGTTTTGGGTTTAGTTTCGGGGTTTCGGAGATTTAGGGTTTAGAGTTTTGGGAGGGCTTTAGGGTTTAGGGTTTAGGGAACTTTCGGGGGGCTCAGGGTTCACCCTCCTTTACTCGGGTTTAGGGTTTAGGGCTTCGGGGCGCGGGCAATCCTGGACCCCAAGTTTTCATGCAGAACCCTTAAACTCGCTCCCCCCCCCCTCTCCCAAGCAAGGGCCCAGACCCTAAACGCAACCCGAACGTTGTGCCACCAACAAAACTCCATAACCCCTACAAGCCACAAACCCTACGAGCGAAAGCGCCCGAAACCCTAAGCCCTAAGCCCTAAACTCTAAACCCTCTGAGTTGCTCGCCTCAGGGGGCACGTCTGGAGCCTCCACGACGGGCGCCGGGCTCGGCGCCAGGGAAGCTTGGGGAGCCTTACGGAGTATTGGGGAATCTTGGGTTCCATACCCCCCTTAAACCCCCCTTTTTCGACCTCGAACAGAATAGACACCCCCTTGAAAGGATCCAAACCCTGAGCCCTGCACGCCCCCTCTCAAAAGTGTTTAGGGTTTCAGGATTTGGTTTAGGGTTTGGGGTGGAAACTCTACCCTAAACCCTAAACCCTAAACCCTAAACCCTAAACCCTAAACCCTAAACCCTAAACCCTAAACCCCTCTCATTTCAGTGGGGTCAGAGTCTGGGTTTGAGGACTTCGGATGCCGAAACTGAACTGCCCCAGAGGCCTAGAGCTCCCCCAACCCACATTTCGAACGACCCCCCCGAAACCCTAAACCCAAAACCCTCAACCCTCAACCCTAAACCCTAAACCCTAAACCCTAAACCCTAAACCCTAAACCCTAAACCCCCGCCCCCTGGCCTTCCCTGCGGTCTTGCGGCGCAGCCGCCGCAGCGGCTCCGGTGCTGGAGCCTGGCCGAAGGGGGAGCGCTGTTTGGGGTTGAGGCTGTGTGGGGTCTAGGGTTTAGGGGGTTTGAGGGTTTGAGGGTTTGAGGGTTTGAGGGTTTGAGGGTTTGAGGGTTTGAGGGTTTAGGGTTTGGGGTTTCGGGGTTTGGGGTTTGGAGTTTGAGGGCAGTTTAGGGCTTGCAGAGGTGAGGGATACAGAGTCCCGTGCTGGAGAGCTTGCTGTAGGGAGCTGAATGTCTGCGGCTTGAGATTGAGAGAGAGAGAGAGGAGGACAAAACAGACAATGTGTATGTATGTATAAATATACTTACATATAAAATAAATAATCGTGGACAGAATTCAGGGGCAATACTTCTGATGATATAGATACGCCCCCTCGCCCCCCGCCCCCCACCCCACCCCCCGGTTACTTTCAAACCTCACTGTCCTCGCCTTTCCCTGCCAAGCTGGATCAGGGGTCTTACGGCGCAGGCGGCGACGGATGGCGGGCGCCTGCCGACGCTTCGAGGGATCTGAGTCCAGTAATCACCTCTAAACCCTGAACCCTGAACTCTGAACCCTAAACCCTAAACCCTACACCCTAAACCCTAAACCCTAAACCCTAAACCCTATAAACCCTAAACCTAAACCCTATATTTAAACCTTATCTATACTGGTGTTTCAAGGTTAGGGCTTCGCTGACCCCCATACCTTGTGAGGGCTTCCCGAAATCCTGAACCCCAAGCCCCCGTTTGGGCGCGCAAGAACCCTTAATGGGCCTTCATTTAGGGTTTAGGGTTTAGGGTTTAGGGTTTAGGGTTTAGGGTTTAGGGTTTAGGGTTTAGGGTTTAGGGTTTAGGGTCACCTTGAATTGCATTCCGGATCCTTAACTGGCTTGGCCCTTTCCTCTAAAAAAAGTTTGCCCAAAGAGCCTACCCAGATGTGTTGCTTCAAGGTGACTCAGGGATTTCAATTGCCCCGAATCACGCTGGCCACCTGAAATCGGGTCGCGGAAAGAACGCCACAAAGGCAATACACCGAGCAGGCCTCTCCTGAGGGTTAAGGGCTTCTAGGTCCCGAATCACCCGAGTGGTTTGGGCGTTCTACCCTCAAGGAGGCCTACAACTAGCGTATCCTATGCTGTGTTCTAGGAATTCTAGGGTTTGGAGACAGCTCAGACCCCAACCATGGGCGCCTCGTGAACCGGCTGCTCAGCAACCTCTTGGCCGGCCGCACTCTCCTGGCGAGGAGTCGAGTCGCCAAGCCCTAAACCCTAAACCCCAAGCCTCCCTCTTTTAGGAGTGGGGTTTAGGGTTTAGGGCTTAGGGCTTAGGGCTTAGGGCGCAGGGCTTTTGGCTTCGGGCGTAGAGCTTCGGGCTTAGGGTCTCACAACTTGGGGGGGAGCGGGCGGGGGGGGGGGCACGAGAATTCTGGGGGCCAACTGGAGTTTTGCAACGTAGTTTAGGGCTTAGGGTGCTGCTTGGAATTGTTTGGCGTTTGGGCTTTCTAGGCCGGCCCCTTGAATATTCTGAAAACAGGCCTGAACATGATCCTCCCAACAGGCAAAAGAGAAAATATCGCAAAAGCTCTAATTAAAACCTAAGCCCTAAACGCCCTAAACCCTCTCTTTCTAAACAAATCAAGATATATACATACACACACCCAAGTATCCCCAGGGCCTCCCCAGGTAAGGTTTGGGGGGCTGAGGGCCGGAGACCCAAGATGTGGGTTCTAGGCAACCCCTCAAGGTTTCAGGGTTTTGGGGGTCTAGGTTTGTGGGCCCTTTTCAGAGGCTGATATGGGCCAATCAGGAGGGTTGAAAACCAGTCCCGGGTTCTTGCCTTGCCATGTAGGGTTTAGGCTTTAGGGTTTAGGCTTTAGGGTTTAAAGGGCTCAAAGTGCGAAAGCTGCAGGCTTAGGGTTCTGGGATTTTGGGGGTCTAGTGTCTGAAGTAGGGTTTAGGGCTTAGGAGCGAAGGTAGAAGGGTTTTGGGCTAAGGGTTCTGAAATTATTGTGGGTTCAAGGTGGTCTACAGGGCTTGGGGTTTAGGCTGGACCTAAAAGTTTAGGGGCCCTCCTTCAGCCCGAGCCCAGACACGGTCCGCAGGCCAGGTCCTCCGTCCGAGGGCGCACGTTGCGCTGGCCAGAAGAGTCCTGTTGATCCTGACAGCCAGGGTCTCTATCTAGGGTTTAGGGTTTAAGGTTTAGGGTTTATCTACCATCCGGTATTCCTTCCACAGGACCCAAAGGAAGCCCAAACAGATAATGTTACCAGTACTCTCACTACCAAAGGTTAATTATACAGTATGGGGGTTTATGCAAATAAGGGACCCCCAACATCGACCCCTCAAATTGTAGGATACCCGTACATTATGGACCCCAAGAAGGTGCACCCCTAAATTCGGAAACCCTCATATGAATGGACTCATGCACATCTTGATACAATTTCCACGAGAGCGAACGTTTTTATCCAGGATTTCAAGATGATGCCCCACAAGCCCAAACCATAGGGACCCTGCATCATGGGTTCCCTACCACCCCCCCCCCCCCCCCCGCCTAGGTTCCCCCCTTAAATAACCCCGAAATGGCCTTAATTCTGGGGGGGAACCTAGAAGGGGGGGGGGGGGGGGTAGTAAGGGAACCCTGGTATTTGGACCCTGACCGTGCACCAAAGCCGTGAAAAACTCACTAAGCACACACTATAGGGTTTAGGGTACACCTTCGACTCTAAACCTATACACCCCTTATATACCCTACATCAACTAAGGGCCCATACATCGGAGCCCTGCAAAGGTGGCTAGGGGCCATATGAAACTACCCTTAGCCTAGGGTAGACCTTCAACTCTAATCTCACTACTATAGGGGCCTTGATAATAAGAACAGGGTTATTGGGAGGGGGGGTGGGGCAATAAAGTATGATTTTAATAGGAACCAGCAGGGAAGAATATTCAAAATTAATCCGACCCCCATATTAGGCCGGCCTCCTCCACCGGGCGCTTTCCGCGCTGCGGCGACGCCAGCGACGGCGCGACGCGGCTGAGGCGAACCGTGAAGAAGTACCTCTCGCCCCGGAAACCCTCCGAAGCCCTAAACCCTAAACCCTCTAACCCTAAACCCTAAACCCTCTGCTCCTAAACCCTAAACCCTCTAACCCTACACTAAACCCTCAAGAGTGTCGGGGTTTTGGGACGACAGCCATTGACGTCGGTAGGGGTAGTGATTGGGAACCCTCAGCCCCAAACACTAGTGCCTGGGAGGCTTGGTTGTAAGTACAGCTATACTTGGGTGAGTAAGTACCATGAACCTCCAAGTAGAGCCTCAGATCAGTTGAGATTGCGATTCCTGTCTGACACTCCACGATCAAGGCGAACATCACGTTCACAAGCAGCGATTCCCTTTTCCATGGCGGTAGCTCTGCGATGCATTCTTCAGTCACTGCACTAAAAGTATGTTCAGTCCAGCAAGATGATCAATGGACAAAATGTCTTCAGAGATCCAATTCGCAATATGCGTACCTGATGGTCGTTAATTATCTATACTGCCTCGAGGCTTGAATGCAGCGGCCAAAGACACGAGTGGAAGTTAAAGAAGAAGAAGATACTGTCGATGGCCAGTGTACCTCGGAGTCATCGGGGAACCTACCTTTGAACTCGGGTTGTGTGTGCCACGCTTTGCGTGTGGGGCTGACCAACCTTCTGGAAAGGCATGATGGCAATTGGAATGTGCAACAGAAAGGCAGGCGAAGGAGACAGTGGATGACTGAGCGCGGTCAGTTGGCGATCAAGCTTGACGACCAGCAACGCAGTGTTGCTTCATCTCTGCATCTATCTTCCAAAGACCCTGCTCGGCCAAAAGTCTTAAGGGCTGCCTATCTACAACACCCTTATTCAACCCATCGCATACCAAGTATCTGGTGTCGCACCACACAAGTCTTTGTATGCTGGTGCGTAGCAATTGCCGCAACGACAGCATATGGAGCAACATGGTTTGATCTGTGCATGTGGTCTCTTCACCCGCTGCTGAGGTATACACGGACAAGGCGTCGATGACCAGGCTGACTTGCAATGCGTGGCTCATAGACTCCTGCTTTTCAAGCAGCTTCGTTGCGCTGCACGGTCCTTGAAGCACTTCGGTCATAACGCTGTTGATTGTTAAAGCAAGGCCTGACAGATCCAAGGCGCTGTGCAACTCAGCGGCAAACGTGGAACGACAGACTTTCGACTGCTTTTTCGAAACGAATTCCAAGATCTGTAGTGTGTTTTCGCCCCTAACCGGCCCCTCTCTATCAATCAACCCTATTATGCCCGAACGAACAGCTAAACAGTCCTGCCCCTCTCCCTTAAATCCTGAATCGCTGCTAGCGACAAGCCTCCATGGTCTTTCAACACGCTTGAAGGTAAGACTTAAGGGTTTCACTTTGAGGTACTTCAAGACACGGTTGAGATTGAGGACATCTTTAGCTGTTGGCTCCTTAAGTTTTCTCTGCAATGCGGATATGAAGACAGCAGCATCAGGGCGTGTCTGCGCTACCCATGCTACACCGCCCAAAAGGGATTGAAACTGAGCTTTAAGAGTGTCGTCCACAGCTTGTTCGGGATTCATCAAGCGAATATCGGCGTCCGCAATTGGTTTGAGTTCAGCAATATAGTGGTTTTGGCTTATGGATCTAGACATATCCTTGTTGAGGGTGTGCCTAAGTCCCAAATGCTCGAAATTGTCGTATTCAAGTTTCAGTGTGTCGAAAGCTTCTTCTAACCCCTTGATGACTTTGGCAATTTCGGCATCATGGCCCGTAATTTTAAGATCATCAACGTGAGTCGTCATGGCCAACACCAGTTGTCCATGCTCATTGTGACGAATGAAAAACTGCGGATCTGCCTGAGTTGCAACCAGACCAAGTTTCTTCAGCACTTTCTGGAGTGCCAGGTTCCATAATCTGGGTGCATCCTTCAAACCGAAACCAGGCTTCAAGAGATGTAAAACTTCGGTGCTTGGATCAAAATCCGACATTCCAGGGAGTGATTTTACCAGCTCAAGAGAGCCAGCTGGCAGTATCAGCTGAACTTCGCGCAAGACTGCATCATGACCAGTCTTGTGAAGCTCTTCAAAGGTTAGCCCTCTGAGAAACGCCTCCGACACGTCAGCAGAGGCCACCTTCCAATTAAATTGAACAGCTAGCACTGTCAATAAACGCTGACCCCACCTAGACGTCGTAGGGGAATAGTTTTCCACGGACTGCAAGTCCTTAAAACCCTGCGCGACTAGTCTTGCCTTCACATCCCTGACACCGGACATGTTTTTCCATTTTAAAACCCACTTGCTAGTTAAAGGATTTGTTGCACTGCTTCTAGGTCCGCGGCGCCACGCGTCATGTTTGTGCCACCTCAACAACTCCTTTACCATTGCTTCGCGACAGCGATCCACGTTGGCGAGCGCCTCTGCACGCGTGATTATGTTGTTCACACGTTCGATGACTGCAGTTTGCGTAGATGCAAAATTAAACACTACCATTTCGTTTGCTTGCAGTTTTTGTTCAAACGTGCTGAGGAACTTTGCGCTGCGCTCATCGAAGGCTAACTGCGGTGGCTCGGAATAGAAATCATCGTGTTCATATAGAAATACTGCTTCAGGCGCAGCATCAACGCATACCTCTGGAGGCGAGGCTTGATATATGGGAAAGTCTGACTGAAGGCTAGAGGAAGTTTCAGACATTTGCTGTTCTTCGGACTGCTCATCCGTGGGAGTGCCGATGTCATACTCCTCAGGGGCATTGACTGGCACAGCATCCTGCAGCTGTCTGAGTGCTCTCCTTCTCTCTACTTGTTCTGTGACATCCCTCAACGGTGGAAGCGCTGGCTCGTACACGCCGCCGAGATTGGGAACCTCAACGACCGTTTCACGCAGCACGGCTACAGACTCTGAGTCCTCAGAGAAAAACTGCAGAAAGGCAACATTGGAAAGTTCCTTCGAGCAGAGCCGCTCAAAGTTCACGCTTTGTGTGCCTGAAATGAACGCATGAAACCATTCACCCTGCTTTCCTCGGTTCCACCATATTAACAGACTTTCGTCACACATCACCCCCGACAAAGAGTTCACGTTACAACCAAACCTCATGGAAACTACTCCGTTGAAATGCAAATTGCACGCGGCGAGGTGCAATCCTGCAATAATTTCACGGGGATATTTGGGGTTTGATTCTAGTGCGCGCCATTTTCCATTTTGTTTAAACCAACCTATCCTTACAGCCATTTTGTCATGAGACTCGGCGGCCTCACGCATGACGGACACAGGCGAGTTGCTGGATTCTCTAGCCAAAAACACCGTGAACATTAGGGATCTCCTTATGTCTTGGATTCTACACAGCAAAACCTTACCCTGAAACCTAACATTTACTTGTCCCTCTGACAATTGCGTTAGGTCACAAACCACACCGGGGCCAAACCAACCGGCGACATCCTTCGTGTTACCTTTTCTAAAAATGTCAACTTGATCCCCGATTGCCAGTTCAAGAAGTTCTGCTGCTGCCCGAGTCTTCGTGCGATCAGCTCTGCCCATCTTAGCCTCAGCAGTTGCTTGAACCATAGCTTGTATGGCCCGGTTTCTCAACACATCTGCGTTGGCGTCGCTGATGGATTGACCGTGTTCGGCTGTTAGGACGTCGTACAGAGGAGGAATCCTTCCATACAAGGCTTGGTAAGGCGTCATGTTACCGACCCTGAACAAAGCATTTTTTGGCAAACACACTTTCTGCAAGGATGGAATCAAAGCTTATCCGAACTCCATCCGATAAGGTCTGATCCTTAAGTAAATGCACCTGCCTTCGCAGGATCTCGTGATGCCTTTCCACGACGTTTGCGTGCGCATATTTGGCCTTTGGCTCTAAGACAATCTCACGAGCGCTCAACCACGCGGCAGCATCGGGAGAGTTTAAACCTCCTTCTTGATCAGCAACTATTTTCGATGGTGGACCATAAAGTCCAACCCAGAACTTTTGTATTGCTGTCAAGAGATCATCGGTTTCTTTTGTGGGAATTACATGAGCCACTGTGAAGCGGGTACATACATCGATCATATGAATGATTGTTTTACGTTCTATGAAAAGTAGATCAACTTGGACTTCCTCGTTGAAGGCAACAGGGAGGCGTGTGGATACCGCTGCACTCGGCCCTGGTCTGGCCCAGGCGCGACACACCGCGCAAGTGTCAACAATTTCTGGCACAAGGGCCAAAATCTTGGAGTCTACACCAGCTGCAGCTAAGAGCGCTTTCATTTTGGCACTACTGCAGTGATACCATCGAATGTGAAGCTTGCGCAAGGTTCTGCGCACCACTGCTTCACGCACGCTTCTTAGCATTTGCAAGGCATGTCCGAGATCAAACCGTGTCCACCCCGCTTCCGGGTCGGGAGCAACATCGGCCTGCACACCGACAGCATCGACTACCCCATCAGCAGCTGCGACATCTGCTGCAACAGGAGCGACGTCAACAACCGGAATGGCTGGAGCACTGGGCCCAGCTCCTCCTTCCACAACCTGCGCAACTCCATCACGTCGCGCAGGACCTGAACCACCGGAATTTTCACGACCGCCCCTAGAAGGCTTGCGGGAACGTTCGCTACTTAACCTGGCTGCAGCAGTGGGCTCACGCGCCGAGGCAATTCTGGGATCACGCGGATGCTGACCCATGCGTTCGCGCACTGCACCCTCGGGCATAGAACGGGCAACTGCCCACTGACATGTGTCATCAAGAGTGTGGTCAGCATGCACACGAGGTCTACTGTTTTTGCATCCTACGCAACCCCAAATCTTAGGTTCTACCCCGGGATACTTACAATCACCAACCCTGATGTGCGTAGGGTCATCCTTTCGTTTGTGCCATCTGCACCCGGGGCATTCCAAGGCGCGTGTATCTGCAGATGAGCTGGACGCAGAAGGAAACATTGAGGCAAAGGCCCCTGCTGCCAGATCAGCAATTCCGACAGCAATGGCTTTGCAAAACTTCAGGGGCCAAACCTGAGCAAGAGAACTTGGAATCCCGAATTTGCGATCGGACAAACGTGACACACCTGCGTGTTCGTGGTTCTGACTGCATTGCTTGTCTTGCAGTCTGGCAATCAGGTACTGATGCGAGGCCCAGACCTCGGTAGGTTTGCGAATCGGAAGAAAAGGGTGCACCGGCATGCGAAGGCCAAGCATGCATTGATCAAACGACACCTTGAAAGGAGGATGCTTCGCCGCCAGACTTGTCCACTCTGGCAGTTTCCAAAGATCACTACCCTTTGGTTGTTCGATCAGGTAGTGCCTATTCGCAGCAATCTGAATTTCAGCTACTTTTGCACAGACTGCAGCTAAATGCGATCCCTCTCTTCTCGAGTTTTGCCAGGTTTGGGGATTGATTACTCTGTTAAGCCTACTTATTGGTCCAAAGGGCCCACAAGGAGGAGACATCACCACTACGAGCGGTTTATTTTGCGCAATGTAGTTCAGAACTGCATTTAATTCTTTGGGGTCGGAAAGGTCGTAGCCATTAACTGCATCATAGTTCTCACCCGTATTTAACCCATAAAGCTTTGAACATAAGTAAGAAGTACGACCTTCCCCACCAAACAACTCGATCACATGAATAACCGCTCCACGTTGCGCCTCACGGGTGAGGGGAAAGGATTCGGTCACTGAAGAGTCCGGCGGGCTATCCCTGCGGTTACCCCAAAAAAAATACAAACCTGATAGATTTGAGAAGGGGACTGCATTCAAGGATGTTGCAGTCTCGGACACAGACCCTAGCAAGGAAGCTGTCCATCCTGTGCATTCCACGCATGCAAGGATTGAATCCAAACAGTCTCCCAGGTCATCTTTATGCTGCTCTACGCGTTTGACTTTTGACTTGGGTTTATGTCCGGCCTTCAACATTTCTTTGTATCGAATGGCTCCTTCGGTAGGAAAGCTGCTTCCAGGTTCCAGAGTCTCTATTTGAAGGTGCTGGTCAACTGTCTGTTGACATGGAAATCCCAAGCTGGCCAAGAACTTGACTTCTTCACCCTTCAACTCAACAATAGCCCGATTACAATAAAGTGCAACGGTGATGCGTTGGCCGTCCCAAGGCTCAGTGCAATGCAAGAGACGCGGACTGAAGCTGATCATGCGATGCTTGCATGAGACTAGCTGGCCTGGAACAACTGTTCCATCATCGAGCTGCTTGTACACAAGGTTTTTGGAATTGATAGTTTGCGCTACCAATGCATCTGTTTCGACCCAAATCTCCCCACCCCTATAACCACCTAACCCTATGAGTTGGTTACTGGACGAGGAGAGATTTCGGCTGTCACGATGCAAACGAAGCTGCACGTTGTCGTTCAGCGATATGCTGGTCCAGGGCGCTTCGGCAAAATGGTTCTTGCAAAAGGCATTCAAATATCTCACAAGTTCACTATGCTCGTATGTTCGGCTAGTTACCCCTATGTAGTTTCCGTGCTTGTACAAACCGAAAACGTATACCCCCGCATCAGCATGTGCGTTGTCGCTGGAGGCTGCACGTGATCTAGCACTTTTCACGAACTTACATAAGGATAACAGTTGCAAACATGTTTGAAAATCGTACTGGGCATCAAGACGTGCACGCTTTGCCATGGTCTCAGAATCCACGGCTGCATGAGATACCAACATATCTTCACGATCCGTCCGTATCCCATCAACCTGAAGTCTCTTTGGAAGGTAAATGGACTCGGGTTGCGTGTGCATTGGGGCTGTACTGTTAGCTTTCACGCGTGCATTCTCAGCCGTTCGCTGAGTGTACGTCGGTATATTAACCGACCGCTGCAACACCGTCCAAACAAGACTTCTGAGGACCACTGAATAGCGTGCTGTGCGTTCCGCATCTGTCATTTTTCTCATATGGATGTGCGTCATATCTTGGGGGCACTTGCATCTGAATCCAGCGTGGAGATCACCATTAGTGGCAACGCGAATGAGGCTGTTACAAGGAATGGAACCTGCGCCTAAGGTCTTTTCATGAGCACACCAAGCATGCTCTGTCACACTCAGTCCCTCCACGAGACGCTGAATGCTGCGCAGATTCCATGCCAAGTTTTTGGCATTGGCCTCCAACACAACCAACCTACCATCACGTTGCTGTCTCTCGGCAAGAGAACACAGATGTTCTGCACGCAAGGTGTCATGTTTGTTACCTGTTCCACAATTTGGGCCGCCTAGTCTAACCCAGATAACTGAAGGAACCTCTACTTCTAGCTTATTTAACAGGTAACGAACATGACCCTTGCTGTGGAGATCATGCTGGTAGTGCGTTGTCGTGAAACCCAATGCTTGAAACACAGCTTGTCTATCACCACCCTGGTCATTCAGGATCCAAGCGGTTTGAACCACGTTCTGAGGTCCACGATTCGCGTGTTTGGGGCTATTGCCTATTGGTGCACGCTAGGGCTTTCCCGAGACATTGCAAAGGAATTGGGCACAAGGGACGTGGCTACATAAGGCTTGGAAGTGGAAGATGTGGCAGCATTAGGATCTGCCTGAGCACGTTGATGCATGAAATCAAGCACCTGACCGCTCTGTCCAACAACTTTTTGACTGGAGCTCACTGGGAGAATCAAATGCCCAGAAGGACTCATCTCCAGTTTCAATGCGACAGTGCCAGGCGGATACTCATGCTTCAAACTTCCAGGGCCTGGCAACACAAGCAACTGCTGACCACAATCAACCACGGCATTCATGCGACGCAGACTCTTCAAGCCAAGCAACGGCGGTAAATCGCTGTTCTCAATGACTGGAGCTCTAAATGAGCAGCGAACATAACCGCCAGTCACTTCATCACACGCAGCAAGATCAACGCTCAACGATTGGTCGGTACTTTGACCTTCCTTTCCAACTCCAGCAACATTCAAGGTGGACGTGAGGGCACTCATGGTGGCTTTAGCGCCGCACTGCTTCTCGAGCAGTTGCGCAGTATTGCCTCCAATAAGATTGTCATGCGCTCCTGGGTCCACCAACAATCCAACTTTGCCAGCAATGCGTGTGCGAAGATGATACATGCCCGAGCAAGCGTTGGTCAACACGTTGTCAAGACTTTCTGTCTCCCACCAAGGAAACAACAAGTTGGAAAGTTGCAACGTCGCCTGTCTTCTTGCCGCTGCACTTTTGGCCTTTGCCTGCGCTATCCGGTCTTGAGAATTTGACCCTGAAAAAGGAGAGTCTGAGGTAGCAGCGTGTGGCAACTGAAGAGCAGGCGACAATTCGGGTTCATGCGCTGGGGGTGGAAACCGAGGAGCACCAACGCCTGGAATCAAAGCCTCAACTGATCCAACCTGCGACGCAGAATCATCTGGCCTGACTGAGGACGGTAGCCCAGGCTCCCACGCAGGAGGATCACATTTGGGGCTGTCAATGTCACGTTCAATGTCCTTCTTGCGCTTATTGCGGGCAGAACCTGACGACACCTGACTCAAGGCTTCCATCTCAGCTTCAAAACCCGTGCGAACACTCACATCGCTCCTTGCTGAAGTGAATCCGGCAAAAGAAACACTGGGAAGCAGCCTATCAGCAACAACAGACTCCAACCCTTCATCAACGGAGGTCTCATGGGCATCATGTGCTCGAATGGTGTGAAGCGTGAGTGCAGGCTGCGGCCCTGCATTCACAAAGTGCGAAGCTCCACCAGTTGGAGCACTCTGATTCTGCACAACCTGCGGACAAC